CCCAAACTCCACTTTTCACAATAATTTTGTATGATATTATTTTTTCTGCAAGCCAGTCGATGTGAATGGATCAAATGGTTCTTTACTATTATTTAATGAATTACTTAATTTAAATAAAGTTTGGTTAATTTATTGTTTCTTATTTATTCTATTTAAGTTACTTTTGGTAATTTTTCTTCTTTATCTGTAATTGGATATAATGATACTTGTACAATACCAATGCTTGTGCACTGAGAATAGTGTTACAGTGGCATTCTTGACATTAGTAAAATTGTATTTCTAATAAAATGTAAAATATAAACAAACAAACCAACAAGCACGCACGTATCTGCAGAAAAGGGAATACAGAACTCCGTGTTTTCACGAAGCTGACGTCCACGAACCTACGAATCTACGAGTCGATAGAGAAAAAGAAATCGTCTCTTAAAACTCAGTTGACCTTATTTTATATCTCACTATATACTTTTATTGAGAGCTAACTACACAGTAAGTTAGTATATCAACTTGATATGAGAGGTTTCCCAAAACAGGATATGGCTTCCATCTTTCTCACCGGCTGACAGATGAAGAGATTACGTTCATCAATTTTAGAGTCTAGGGTTCATCCCATCAACAGGATTGTCTGTTAGCTTTGACAATTGTGACTGTTTGACTCGTCAGATTATGGGGTTTATGATCAGACTCTAGTCCCCGCGACTGTACAGTGACGGGTGCGTGTATTAAACCTCGTCATTCTGTTTAATCGTCGAATAAACGAAGTGACGTTAAGCACAATAGACTTTAGACCAAGGTCAGAAACAATTTGTTGAGATAAATAATCCTTGTCATGAAAACAGTTTTCCTTCCATCAGATTGGTTGGGTGTTGGTCATTGGAAATCTCGATGAGGAATATTTTCACGTACACATCGTTATACGTAACATTTGCAATATCTATCGAATATAAGAGCATATTCGGTCTAGGCATTCCCGGAGGGGTATGAGTAGTCGTATAATACATACGCCAATTACGTTTTGATATCTTGGAAAGGGTTGTTCCAACAGCTTATTGCATAACTGAAAATTCTATATTTATTATAATTACATTATCTCGAAATCATCTGCGCTCTCAGATACGTTTGCTCATTAGCAATTAATTTAATCACGATGGTACTTCAACCAACTCCGTTATTGCGTCATAGTCGTTTAAGTCATGAAACTGAACCACGGAACACGTGGTTCTTTCGATTTAATTACACCAAATCTCGCTGCAATATTGGTTTTTAATTAGATAGATTTTGGCATCATCTTGGTAATCTCTCCGCGAGATGAAAGCCTAAAATTGTCCTTCGCCGCTCCGCCGGGAATACCAAGACCGAATAGACGCTCGTATTCAACAGATGTTGAAAATGTTAGTTAATATTCGTGGCTTCCTTGCTACTATTCCTTTGCGAATTCGATTTGATATTACGGAAATGCTCGTTCTAGCAGCTCATTGCGTGACAAGACGTACGAATCGTATGCACATTGACATATACAACCCCCAGTGGACCCCGAATGGTTTTTACTTCGCAATCGTTAAAGCGACTATCCCGTTTTCTCTACGGATATTAGCATTGTGAATGCCTTGACACGAACTCTTTGTAAGTAATCATTGTTCGCTTCACGAACGCTACTGGTTGTTCTTTTAGGATTCAGTCTAATTCCTACCCATTATCACCTCGAATTCTTGTTAATTCTTTCACACTTTTCGTCGCCACTTCGGCATATACTTTGATGTTCTCGCTTTTCTGTTTCCTTGTTGCCGAATAGAATAAAAAAACGTCGAAATTGACGTAGGCAAATCGCGTTATTGCTCTATTTCAATAATGCTGCGTTGACTTATCGGAAACATTGAATTGCCTATCTATTAGTTGGCTCATAAACTGACGATCTCTCAGCTAATCGAATATTGAATTATTCAAACAAATTCACTGCTATTCTGTTTAGTATTCATGTATGCAAATTAGAAATATCATAATCGTTTCCCACCTCTCACATTTATTAGAAGATTTACTATTTCCAGCTTGTTATTGTTATGTTAGATGTTGCGTTTCAGTGATGCATGTGTCTGTGCTGATCAGACTGAATAAATTATAAGCGGCGAACACCGCAGCCACATCATGTGTAGCTACAACATTGCTTTCATCTTCTGTGGCTACGCTAATGCACTCTTCTAATGTAGCAACAACATGCAAACTTCTAATGTAGGTACACTATTGCACTCTTCTAATGTAGCTACACCATTGCATTCTTCAAATGTAGCTACACTATTGCACTCTTCTCATGTAGCTACACCATTGCATTCTTCTAATGTAGCTACACTAATGCACTCTTCTCATGTAGCTACACCATTGCACTCTTTTAATGTAGCTACTCCAGTGCACTCTTCTAATGTAGCTACACCAGTGCACTCTTCTCATGTAGCTACACCAGTGCACTCTTCTATATAGCTACATCAGTGCACTCTACTCATGTAGCTACACCATTGCACTCTTCTAATGTAGCTACACCATTGCACTCTTCTAATGAAGCTACACTATTGCACTCTTCTAATGTAGCTACACCATTGCACTCTTCTAATCTAGCTACACTATTGCACTCTTCTTATATAGCTACGCTATTGCACTCTTCTAATGTAGCTACACTATTGCACTCTTCTTATACAGCTACACTATTGCACTCTTCTAATGTACCTACACTATTGCACTCTTTTTATATAGCTACACCAGTGCACTCTTCTCATGTAGCTACACCATTGCACTCTTCTAATGTAGCTACACTATTGCACTCTTCTAATGTAGCTACACCATTGCATTCTTCTACTGTAGCTACACTATTGCACTCTTCTCATGTAGCTACACCATTGCACACTTCTAATGTAGCTACACCAGTGCACTCTTCTCATGTAGCTACACCAGTGCACTCTTCTAATGTAGCTACACCAGTGCACTCTTCTAATGTAGCTACACGAGTGCACGCTTCTCATGTAGCTACACCAGAGCACTCTTCTCATGTAGCTACACCAGTGCACTCTTCTCATGTAGCTACACCAGTGCACTCTTCTCATGTAGCTACACCAGTGCACTCTTCTCAGATAGATACACTATTGCACTTTTCTAATGTAGCTACACTATTGCACTCTTCTCATATAGCTACACCAGTGCACTCTTCTCATGTAGTTACACCAGTGCACTCTTCTCATGTAGCTACACCAGTGCACTCTTCTCATGTAGCTACACCAGTGCACTCTTCTCATGTAGCTACACCATTGCACTCTTCTTATATAGCTACACTATTGCACTCTTCTAATGTAGCTACGCCAGTGCACTCTTCTCATGTAGCTACACCAGTGCACTCTTCTCATGTAGCTACACCAGTGCACTCTTCTAATGTAGCTACACCAGTGCACTCTTCTCATGTCGCTACACCAATGCACTCTTCTCATGTAGCTACACCAGTCCACTCTTCTTATATAGCCATACTATTGACTCTTCTAATGTAGCTACACTATTGCACTCTTCTCATGTAGCTACACCAGTGCACTCTTCTCATGTACCTACACCAGTGAACTCTTCTCATGTACCTACACCAGTGCACTCTTCTCATGTACCTACACCAGTGTACTCTTCTCATGTAGCTACACCAGTGCACTATTCTAATGTATCTACACCATTGAACTCTTCTCATGTAGCTACACCAGTGCACTCTTCTCATGTAGCTACACCAGTGCATTCTTCTCATGTAGCTACACCAGTGCACTCTTCTCATGTAGCTGCACCACGGCCCTTTTCTAATGTAGCTACACCAGTGCCATTTTCTAATGTAGCTACACCAGTGCACTCTTCTAATGTAGCTACGCTATTGCACTCTTCTAATGTAGCTACACTATTACACACTTCTTATATAGCTGCACTATTACACTCTTCTTATATAGCTACACAATTGCACTCTTCTAAGGTAGCTACACCAGTGCACTCTTCTAATGTAGCTACAACATTGCACTCTTCTAATGTAGCTACACTATTGCACTCTTCTTATATAGCTACACTATTGCACTCTTCTAATGTAGCTACACTATTGCCCTCTTCTTATATAGCTACACCAGTGCACTCTTCTCATGTAGCTACACCATTGCACTCTTCTAATGTAGCTACATTATTGCACTCTTCTTATATAGCTG